CACTGTATGCAGCTACAGGGATTGAGAAACCCACTACTGTATACATGTAGGCCTAATACTGTATAATAAGGGAATAAATTAATGTGTGCTCCGGAGGTTTTTATCACTCTGTTTAAGAGACCACTTAGAGTCTGGGTGCTGATAATTACCCGAGCCGGAGGCGAGGGTAATTATCAGCTCCCAGACTCTAAGTGGTCTTAAACAGAGTGATAAGTACCGACGGAGCACATATTTATTCCCATTCATAAATACCTTTTCGGTAAAAAGAAAATCATATAATTCGTTTAAAACATCCCGATTTTGTTCAACAAATTCACTTCATGCTTTTTGAAACATCCCTCTTGCATCCCTCTTTGAGTGTTCAGCTGGCGAGTAAGATGTAAACAACCCTTTTTTTGGAGATTGACGCGCGCGTATCGTGTTCTGCGCGATGTCACGCAGAACGCACCTGGCGCGTTGCGTTTTGAATTTAGAACTATAAGTTCCCTGGTAGTGTTGCGCATGCCTACGTGAGGATTGTGAACGTTCAACCAACGAAACGATAAGAGGCACTGGATTTTTAGGAGTCCATATTTTATTGTGACACTGGAAAAGTGTTTAAGACCAGCTAGCCATGTCTTTATCATCCGTTTAAGACCGGCCACGTGACGGGCTCTCGTCCAACAGGAATGCGTAAACTGTCTTAGGTATTTATGAATGCATATTAAAGATATAGTCCATCATTTGTAATTTGTGCATTTTGTTCGTTTGAAGCAACAAAAGTGTTCAAAATCTAACGCGCGTGCCTGTGCGTCGTGCCAATGCTTGCGCGCGCTGCGCCGAATAACAAAACGAACTACTAATTTAAATGTTCCTAATGTTTAAATTAGCAAAGATTTGTTTTAAATGTACGTACCCCTTTCGTGCCTTTACAACCACAGATACAGGGGTTTTTTTTAGCGAAAAACGCGGCTGTCATAATCCATATCGTATACTAGACTTGACTCAAGTCGGAATTGCTTTAAGTCGGTATCTTAAAAGAAAAGTAGCAAAAATCGCTTAGTTTACGTCTTTCCAGATGCCCGACAGGGTACACTTCAGTGCGCGTTCCTTTTCAGTGCCGTATAACAATGCGCACACACTGGTACAACACGCGTATTACACGTACATGTGTTCGCATCGGTTTGCATGTATTGCAGAGCATGTGCATACATGTGGTGCAAAAGTTAGCAATTTGATTGGTCAAGCGATGTTGCTGCATATGCATAGAGATGGTGTTGCATATGCATCGATGAAAACGTGCGCGTTCACGTCACGCGAGGGGGTGCTGATGGCAGATTGATCAAGTCGGAATAGACCGCTTGCAGACGCGTTCGATAATTGACGCGCTAAGGTGAGCGACGCCATGTTAATGGACAAAATGTGCGTGGATAGATATACGCCTGTCCCACAACATGGCGTCGCGTGCCTTCGCGCGTCGATTATCGAACGCGTCTGCAAGCGGTCTATTGCTTACTTTTGCACCACATTGTATGCACATGTCTGCAATACATGCATGGGCGTAGCGAGGAGGGGGCAAGGGGGGGCACTTGCCCCCCCCCCCCCCGAAAAGCAAAAAAAAGAAGAAGAAGAAGAAGAAGAAAAAAGAGAAAACAGGAAAGAAAAGAAAAAGAGGCGGGAAGACAAAGTGGTGTAGGGGGGGGGGGGGAGTGGGCCACATTTCCCTGCCCCCCTCTAAAACTGATAAATCGAGAATATGTTGAGAAATGCAAGCATTTTTGGCAAAACAAATTTTTTGCCCCCCCTCTAGAAAAAATCCTGGCGACGCCCATGAATACATGCACACAAATTTACGTGTAATGCATGTGTTGTACAATGTAGGCCTACATACAGTGTGTGCGCATTGTTATACGGCACTGAAATAGAACGCGCGCTGAAGTGTACCTTGTCGGGCATCAGGAAAGGCGTAAACTAAGTGATTTTCGCAACTTTTTTTGTAAGATACCGACTTATAGCATTTCCGACTTGAGTCAAGTCTAGTTCAAATTATAATCAAAGTTTCAAAATATAAAAACTATGTACATTGGTAACAATCTTCTACATCTTCAATTAACAAAACCACCAAGATTCTCATATCTGGTATTTATCCATCATTCATATAAAATATAAGCCAATATAAAATATTCAAAAATATTTTTTTTAATGGAAATGCCTGAAAATGTAACGTTATGCTTGTGATACAGAATAGATTTGATCGTATAAGACATGTCCCACATTTGGCAGTGAATTAAAGTCATAGTCATTAGTAGTAGAAGCAATGGACCGGACGCCATGACCTATTGCAGAAGTGCTCACCTCCGATAAGACATGAAGGTCTGAGTGCCGGAACGCTTTCAGAAATTAGACAACTTTGCCAATATCCGGGTCAATATTACAAAAATTGCTCGTCGCAAAAGCGACAAGTTAAAACGAAAGCAGGTTATTTCATGGATATGGTGGTTCCAATACGAGTGTGGAATTTGAGCTGTTTTCCGAGGATGTTTCTGTGTTGGCGAGTCAGATTCGACTGGCAAAAGTGCAATGGTTTACGTTCCTCAACTCTAATATATTAGTTTGTTCGTCACAGTCTTGTTGGGTATTCCACGATTGGTCGACATTCCTTGGATGTCGTCTGAATATTTTTTCTAAGCGCCGACATCAAATTTACTTTGTCTTACAACCATGCAGAAAACTGGGGTAGCCCTGATTGAACTTTCAAAAAAGTGAAACCTTCCTGTAAAAGATATTGAAAATTAGTAATAATTGGCCTTTTAAAATACCTAAATAATTGTCTCTTTTGGGGTGTACGAGCTCAGGGTATAACCAGGAGCATTATGCTTAATTCATCGAAAGATTGAAATTTACAACGAAAATGAAGAAGACAACTGATGAAATGCAAAACAAATCAACTCTTTACGATAAAATGCACAATTATATTTCTCCGAGATTCAAACAGTTACCAAATAAATAACCTGAACCATTTGATAACAAAACAATTGTCAGTTGAAATAAACCACCATGGGGTATCCAGTAGTGTACAATCTTTGGGAAAATGACATGCACAGACCGCATTACTTTAAGGGAATCCCCGTACTCTCTAAAATTAGCTGTTATTGCACAATACTCTGGCACTTTTGTGATTTAAATTTCAACAATGGCGGCTCAACAATGGACATTCATAATCCACGCTACGCATATTTTCTGTTGGCCAATGACAATTTCGCAGCCATATTTGGTAGCCTGTCACTCAAACTCGAGGGAAGGCATAAAAAGTGTATGCATGTAGGCCTAACCCACACGTTATAGTTCTTAATCTAAAATAACAGATCGAATGCGAGTCTGCATTTGGCAATGCTGGAATTTTGTTTTCGCAAACAATGACTGCCCTTTTTTCGTTACAGAATTTGTTTGCTTGAGGAAATGATTTCGAAATTGCAAATTGATATTATACTACGGTGCATTGGGTCATTTCATCTCTGATTCTACAATTTGCAAAAAAAGTAGAATAAAGTAGAAAATTCTTCCCAAAAGGTAGTCAGTTTTACCCAAATTAGCCAATATTCAGGCAGTTTCATACTAGTTTGGTAAATAATATTGACTAATTTCAAAACACTGTTTACCCAACTTCACATCACATGAAAGTAAAATAAACTATTTCTTTACAGAAGCGACAACATGCCTATGGATTGCTTTTTTTTATCATCTCAACGGAAGTCTGATCCATACTGTAGTGCTTTGAGTTGAAGTGCAAGTCACAGACAATGTTGTATCGACTGCAGGCTTGTTTTTTGAAGGTCATTATAGAAATACATGTATATTACAGGGAAATTTCCACTGACGACGTCAGTGAAAATGGTGGCTGTATTCTTTTTTTTTTAATACATTGGGCCTATCCCTGTGCAATTATACTGATATTGCCATTTTCTCCCCACTTATGCGACTTAAGTAGGGTTTACTTTAATTTCTGAGCTTTATGTTTATATAATCATGTTTGTAAATTTAGAACCCCCCCCCCCCCCCCCCGTTTTAATGTACAGGCGTAAAGTACTCATATTTTACGTTTTTCTAAATAACCAAGGACGGTGTTGCTGTGATATCACTTTGGTTGAGTTAGGCCGCATAATGTTTGTTGATTAAAAAACCCATTGGTGTAATTAGGCCTAATGTGCTCAGGCATGAAGGACCAAAAAGTCCGAGGAATGTTCAAATCCTAACCTGTTGAAGTTTCAGCTGAGTGGATATTACAATATTCGAGAAAAATGAACAAAAAATGCAAAACCTTTTGATCACGAAACACGATTTGATCAGTATAACTCTTTATTCCAAACATAAGCCAATTGACTGATCGTTGGAAATCACCCAAAGATTTTGTTTCATCTAAAGGACAGCAAGCCAGTGGGAATAATTTCGCGGGGTGTATAGTGCCTGTGCGATCTTCAATCGAAGTAAATTTCTAATAATAATATTTCAGTGGGTTACTTTTTAGGATAATTGCAAATAATCCTGATCCTGTCTTTAATAAGTCGCTGCTCATATACACGTTTCATGTAGTGGTGGCAAGGGTTCACACATGCAGGCGTGAGCGAGACTCGGATAGCCGTTCATAATAACTGTCAATTGTTATATAACCCGCGTCTACAGTAGGGACAAAAATCTCCCATTTTATGCCCAACTTTTATATTTACCCGACTTTGCGGAACTAGTACACACGGTGAATTCCAACACGAATTTGGACAATGAAGCCATGCGTGGTGTAAATCAAAGAATAGTGCTTCCATGCACGAAAATGTTTGATAAAACTGTATTTGGTCAATACTTTCTTGGAACGCATATTAAGAACCTTCTTCTACCCAACCCTATTCCATGAACACAGACAAGCAGAACCGACAGAGGAATGGGGTCAGCTAATTGACCCTGCTCACGAATTTGACACCAGACTTAGATTGCTCGCTGAAAAAAATAATTTGGCAGAAGCATTGGAGTTTTAAACAAGAGATGGCGTAGTACACTTATTGACATACATGAATACTTAACCAAGAATTTCATAATTGCAAACAATCACCAAATATAATTATTTTATTTGTGGCCAACGATCTACAGCAAATGTAGAACGTGATACAATACAGAACCAAAAAAAACAACAACATGTGGTCGTATCACTGCTACCCAACTATAGCTAAAGAAGACACAAAATTGACACAAATGTAACCTTTCCGGGGTGGAGGGTTGAACCCGTCTCCCACTAATAAGCCACAGTTTTCTATTTAACAGGTGATATAAATACATAAACACAGATAACTACTCGACACATGGTTAGTTCATCATCACTCTAAACAATTCTTTATGTACAAAAGGAACAGAAACATTTAAAAAAAAACCAAGTAGTTGCCTGTACAAAATGTTTGGTCTCAAAGAGCAAGGACAGAAATAAGCTTCTCAAAACAGTCCATAGGATTTTCCATACCGAGTACAATGTATGTCTGTACATACAAACACTTATGTGAGGCTCACCAATTAGAATCAATTGGGACCAATTTGGAACTTAACAAGAAAACAAAACAATGCCATTGGGTTTATCTCCAATTTGATGATCTCCAAGACTGCAAAATGTTAACAACTGTCTGAATATTAAGCAGGCTGGGGCTCCAGTTAGGGGGATGGGATGCGGCTGCTGGCTCATGTGCATATGGTGTGAAACACAAACATCTTTGCTTGAATGTCAGGCCCAATCAGCAATACGTCCAAAATACCCCTCCTCCCAATCTCCCAATTGTTTTCTTTGCAACTGCTGAGGATGTAGTGTGCATGGAGTCCATTGCTATAACAAAGTTTAATATTTTTTGCACCATGTGCAAATGCAGCTGGCGGTATCCATGTGTTCACAGAACAAAACACCCGACACTGTCAAGAGTTCCTCACAGGAAAAAGCCTAGCCTCTCACTCGATATTACTGATTCAGGCAGTTTATGCCATTGTGACTAAATTAAAGCATTCAATTCCCTCCAGGTATGGCTCTGTGTGATTGCGGTTGCAGTCTTATTACCACTGACCATTCTACTAGGCTTGAAGTGGCACCCTGAACAAGACTGCAGGTGCGGTAATTTTACACTTCTTCCCCTCAAACCATGATGTACATGCATCAAAAGTTACAAAAGGCTACGCCTTAATATGGAGATATTTAAGCAAAAAATCATAGGTAAAAACCCTTACTTGGACCTCAAGTACTATGAAATAAGCTTATGTTGCGGTGAAAATTGCTTCATTCCACGCTTCTCCACATGGATGTGAAGTGAAAGCACAATTAACACCACAACGAATCCTCAACGAAATTCACTTGAGTAGAAATTTTGTTCAACTTTTGCCAATTTGCAGTGCATTGCATGACACCGCAATACATGCATTGCATTTTGTGTTTGCTCAAGTGCCAAGTTGGAACCAGCCTTTCTGCCGATACAAATAAAGCACTTTATCTACTGAAGGCCCATGACAGAGACGAAGTATATCCGCTAAGCCACAAGGGGGTGAAATGAAGGTGTGTATAGATGTGCAAAGTTTTAGAGCTATCAGCTTGATGTGGTGTCTGCGTGGAGTCTGGGTTGCTTTGCTGGAGGTTCGCTGACATCATCTGGCTGCAAGGACAAAAGTTCATAATATCATTGGCAGAGATAGTAAAATGAGTGGAATCGTAGCATGTTGTTTGTCATCCACTTGTTTAAACCATGCTCCATCACAAGTCCATCCAAAGTCATTACACAGTAGGGGTTATGTTACGTCTTACGCCATCGAAGTCACGCAATGCCCAGGGTACTATAACCAAACAAACCTGGCCTTACGTAGCGATAGCACAGTGACCACTTTTTTATCAATTCTTTTATCAGTTGGAGAAAAAAAATAACGGCATCCGTCACGTTCCGAGTAAGACTACATATAAAGTCAGCTCCGAAGCACTGTTTCATTTTCCAATCCTACTTATTCTTAAATTAATTGTGCAAAACGTATGGTAAAAATGGTGGACGAGATATTGTTTGGACACGCCACTATTGGAGAGGACCCCATATGACGTGACACTTCTATGGCGTATCATAAATCCTTCAGTCCTAAGTTGTTACAGGCTATCTAATGACGAAGACTTTCCTTCATCATTGCTCATCCCATGTAGATTGTGATTGGACTTGTGAATGGACTGACCGACGAGACTACATATACTGCCACGTAACTTCTTGCTCTAATAAGAGGCCAGTGACCACAGTGTCTTAATGTCTGATGCATGGCAAAGACTGGCAATTAACAATTGCTTTTCTGTTTTTCTGAGAGATCTTGTTTCTTTCTGAGATGACAAAAATGAATTGACAATCATAAATTAGCTAAACAAATTATGTGTTTGTGTTGTATAGTGCATTAATAGCAAGGAATCAGTACCTGTAGTCTTTCAAAAAAGGGAACAACACTTCATCTGGACAAAGTTTTCTAGTTGTTTTTTTCCCAAAAAAATTTCAAGACAGCCTAGCTGCTATATTTGACACAACTTTGTAGCTTACTTTTTCAGATGGTGATGTATGTGTGCCAGATGTCTTGGGATCTGACTCATCGGGTGTCGTTTGAGGGGTCTGCTCAAGAGGTTGACTGGTGGTGTCGTCTTTCTTCAAGTTGCCAAAATTTCTCTGCTCACCACCTTACAGGTAAGAAGAAAAAAGTCCTGTTAAATAATACAGTTCCGCATGTGTGTGGAATTTGCCTAAAGTTTCTTGCCATATCAACTTTTGAATCCTAGCTGCGCCCTATCATGAATAATGATTACAGGTGCAAGTGTCTCAACCATTCAACAATGAAGCTTCCTGAGTCCACTCTAAATAAACATCTCATAATGTGAGCATGAACATTTGTATGTGTCATGCAATCTAGTGAGAAACGACATTAGTGGTGGCCAATAATCCTTGGCATCCTCCATTATTCAACTGAATGTGGAAAATTCTGATGTTTTGAGGACAACTCGCTACACAGTCAACCATTACAGAACTACAGAACACAACTACATTTCACTGTTTCCAAAGGCAAGTTCAAAGGGTGGTTGTCTAAAATTTGTCTTTTGTAATTAGAAAACTTGAACAAAACCAACGAGAGCTGTTGCGAAAAAGTTAAAGAACAAACAAAGGAAAAAGGTATTTAGAGGAGCAAAAGAAAATCCTTGATTTACACCATAAACAAACTAGTAATGTATAGGGTTCCTTATTGGGTAAAAAACACGATAGAATAGACCTTTAGAAAGTCTTTAGAAATCAATCCACCCCATAAGGGAAACACTATGGAGTTTGAGATTTCAATAGGAATAACAACAGAAGGGAAACAAAGGTCTCCTCTCAAGTATACGTATGTAAGGCCGTGTATATAAGGCTGTGTGTGATGACAAGTTCTTCACAAGCATATTTCACCCCCAAAGCAGGTGACTCGCCTGTGAAGCAAGAGCAACCCTGAGGCGGGACTCGCCAAAAAAACAGACAACAGAACACAAAGCCCCCTCCCAAAGATTAAACTGTTACAAAAGTCCATCTCCAACAGAAGCTCATGTCTGTCTACATACCTTCACTGACGCCTGTTGTACTGCTCCTGTCATCATTATCGCTGCTGTAATTAGAGTCCATGGTTGAGTCCATCGTGGAATCGTCATGGCTCAGTGCTGATGAGGGAGCTACATGTCAGGAATGAGAAAATAGTAGATCGTAAGATTCTTCTGGAGCTGTTTTACATGTAACTGTAACATTAACCCTTGCTCTTTAGGTGTAATGTTAGCGCATAGTTGGATACGTCAATGTCCTCTAACTGAGGTGTAGAGAATGCTTTGGCTTACCAGCCAATGGACTGTATTAGATTGCTTATCTAGTGGTTAAGCAATAGTGCTTATTTCAATGGGATTAAGAGGATCTGATGATCTCACAACAGACCTGTATATAAACCTTGGTCCCTAGAGAGCATGGATTAGATGACTTGGTGCAGTGGCGGATGTTGGAGGGCAGCTGCATGACACATTGGGATGTCTGTTTGGGGGAATACTGAAGTGAATTGGAGGGTATGGTAGGGTGAGGCCAAGTAATGCTGCCAGTCCTAACTCTTAACTTTAACTTTATTCCTCCTAAATAAAATCAAGCGAAGTGTTCAGAGAATTTTGCCGGATTGAAGAAAGTACAGCCAAGCCATTGTTACTTTACACAAGGTTTGCTGCAAACTGAAAGATAAGTACGAGGGATGTGACATTGGATTCCTACAGAGCTGTGAATTTGGAGCATTCGGGAAGGTTCCTAGCCCAAACCCTTTCAGGGCTACACTTACTGAGCCTGGCGTCTTCTATCAAAGCTGTGACATCCCTGTGTCTGAGAGGCTCTTGCCCAACCTGCTGGTCTTCTCCTTGCCCTGGACTGCCCTGCTTGGCCGAATCTGCCAGGACACCAAAAAAAAAAGTGTAAATAAATAGGAGGGCAAAATAGAAGAAGAAAAGGGATCAAAGGAATGCTTTGTGATGCTACACATGATGTAGTCTGTAGAGATCCTCAGGCAGCATCCGAATTATTGGCAATGGCTAGAAATTACACACGAGTCTTTAGGACATGCTGCAGCCGCTTCTCATAGACTCGTGTGTAATTTCCAAGCCGTAGCCCGGTAAATTGGATGCAGCCTTTTATACCTTTGGCAGTCTCTCCATGGTGCTTGGCCAAGTCGGTGACCTCTGACCCCGATGGCCCCATGCCCTCTGGGTTGTTTTCCTTGTTGGCGTCAGCGGACTGCTCGTCCTTTTTCTCCTCGCCTTCTTTCTCTTTGCTTTTAGTTTCCACAACAGGTACCCACTTGAAGATCTTTATTGATGTGTCTCCGATGGTTACCCATTTCTTCTCCCTAGTGACAAATATACATCCATCTTTCTTAATATACAAATGTAGAATATAACTATGTAAGTTTATATTATTTGCAGCTTTGTCAAGTATTCAGTTTTGGATAAGTTTACAAATTATGAAATGCAATTTGGGGCCAACCTGATAATAATTACAGAGCTGCATATAACTAATTTGTCCCAGAAAAAGCCGTGCCATGCACCACATTTGACATAAATATCCAGCAAGCACTTGAATGTTACTCTTTTATATATATATATAGGCCTATATATTGATGTATATCGACCATTCAGACCGCATGTGCGTTAGGAATGACAAGTCGTCCGTTGCTGGATGGGGTTGGCTTAATTTACAATGTAGTTTAAGAAAAATGATGGCGCCATTCCATTCATTTGCACATGGGATTGGCGGACATAAGAGATCGGGTAGGCTAGGTTTCGGCATAATAATTGCGTTGTTTCAATGGTCGAGTTGTCCCGAGTTGACTTGTCTCACTCTCAGCCATGTCAGCGGTGGAGTTGTCTCAACGGGGGAGTTGTCTCAACGGGGGAGTTGTCTCAACGGTGGAGTTGTCTCAATGGTCGAGTCATCTCGAGTCGAGTTGTCACGGTCGAGTTGTCTGACATTCCAGGGAACAATTTTGTGCCCAATTTCCAGACACAATTTTTTTTTTTTTGCTTTTTGACTATCAGATAATAAAGGTTTCAACACCAGGCATTACAATACCTGTATTAATTTGAGGCTCGTCAAGAAAGAGGTTTGGCAACACTGCATGCAGAAAGTTGGGGAAAAGTCGAAGTGCGCCACCTTGGGACTCTAACAATGCCAATGTACATGCAGGCTAAACAACGACACATAGTGACATACACGACATACATGACATAGGCAGATAGGCCTATGCCTTTATGCGACTGGGATTTGACTGATAAAAATTGCTCGTTTCTTACCATTTTCGGACCTTATCAATGGCTTGCATGACACGTTTGATTTCATCTTTAGCACGGCTGCGGGTTTCGGCCCGAGCTGAACGAGATGAACCCATCATTTTAAGAATATCGGACAGAAATATTGGGCTTCCGATATGTAAATCGTACAAAGGACCTGCTAGCCATGCATGGCCTATAGAGGGCGCACATCCAAAACTATGGTTGCAACTTTGTTCGGATATTTATTGTGTTCGTTGTATTTTTTTTTCACGCCAAAGACACGCTAATTTCATTGCTTTACAATATTTCTTGATGTCAATAATTCGTCCGTAAAAAATATCGGAAACAATCAGCGGACGAAATTTCAATGTAATACAACAGATATTTCTTGAGTTATTGGCCCCACAATGAGTGTGTATTTTGTTGAATTACAGAACTTGTGATCTCTCACGCGCCAAAGACACGTTAATGTTTTGGTTACATTAATTTAATTGCTGGATAATTTCTTTATATTAATAGTTAGTCTTTAACACATTACAAGCACCCAACAGACGAAATTTGAATGTAAAACAACAGATAATACTTTAGTTATTGGCCCCACAACGAGTTGTGGGGTTTTTTTTGGGGGGGGGGGGTTGAATTTTTTTCAATTTGTCTTGATATTAACCGTCTTTAAAATCACAAGCAATCAACAGACGAAATTTCAATGTAGTTCTTGAGTGATTGGCCCCACTGTACAACCAGTGTGGTGGTGATAATAATTACATGCATGGCTGGCCATACGTGGCCTTTAGAGGGCGCACATCCAAAACTATGGTTGCAATTTTGTCCAGTTTTTTATGGTGCGTTGTAATTTTCACGCCAAAGACACACTATTATTTTGCATATATGAACTTTATTTAACTACCATTCTTCATGATATTTAAGAAGTTTCTTTTTCGGACGTAATAACAGGTAATCAACAAACGCCATTGCAATTTAATAAAAACAGAATTTTATTGTGTTATTGTCCCCACAAAGCGTGCAGTGATTTGGTAGAATCAAAATAATGTACTTACATTACAAACACATTGTCGTAAAAGTTGGTATCTGAAAATTTCTATGCCAAAACCTTTACACCGGGGGTTTGTGTACAAAATATCAGACGGTTGTTTACTACTCCCCATCATGTTCAATTAACTTCGGCAGCGACCGCAAGCCCCATTTCAAATAAAAAGTTTAGACCGGATCGAGGTACTTTTACGACAACGTGCTGGTAATGGCCGGCTGCTCATGCGGCGCGCCCTCTATACTGAAAAAACAATTATTATTATTATTATTATTATTATTTATTCGGCCAAAACATTCAAAATACAAACATGTACATGTACATACAATGTAAGAAATGTCATACATTAAGGACAGTCAAGATGAAATATAAATTGTGTAACAAATACCAATCGAAAAGAATAGATGTGTATAGGTACAGTAGGTAAGAATGAGATGGGGAAGAAATGGGGGTGGGGATGAGGAATGTATAGAAGGGGAGCGGATTGGGGAAGAGTGGAAGTGGGAGGGAGTTCAACAAGCAGAGTAAAGACAATCCAATCTAAGATGGCCAGGATGAACAAAAGTGAAAACACTGTGACTCAAAAGCCTGTTCATCCAATCCTAGGTTGGTAACATGCAATAACTTTAAAATATAACTATTAAATACAAGTAATATGAGAAGTTAAAAATAAATCTGGAAATTAAAAATGCTATAATAATGGAGGGTAATATATATGAATAAATAAATGGGTAAATAAATATCTGCTAAATATGTAAATGAATTTAAATGAAAATAAAAAAAGTAACATAAATAAAATAATTCAGTAAGAAACACAATAAGTGATAAACAAGTAAGCAATGAAACATACAAACGAGTTAAAAAAGCATCAAAACAAAGACAAGAACAATCAGATAAAACCATACAGAAAAAACATAACAGATACCGTACACATGCAAACAGACAAGCAAAATTACAATCATACGAACAGTCATTATATAATAAACGGGTAGGTAATTTCGTCTCCGTGCGAGAAAAAAAAGACCGAAATGTGTATAGCTGCAAAAAGTGTTTGGGTAAAATGCCCTTGTGTAAAAAAAGTGAAACAAAGTAACTTCTTAAGAAATTTGTTGGATTATTGCTCGAAAAAGGAGTGTTACTTTTTTGCCATGAACGTTGCTTTCGTTCAGATCATATTTTTCACGTTTAAAACCCTAAAAAAATTTCGATCTCATTTTCTTTTTTGTCGGAATAATTCGCATGAAATCACACTCGTGAGTGTAATACATCATGAAGAATTATTGGACTGAATTTCCATTTAGTACAACCAGTAAATCGTGACTTATCACCCGAACCTTAAGAGTATTTTTGTCATGTACGATGACATTAATTGATTTGGTCATATTATTTTTGTTTGTTGATAAATTCTCATGAAATTGAACTGGCGATCGTGAGACATTACGAACAATTACTCAAGGAAATATTTAGTTAATACATTCAGTATTTCTTGAGATATTACCCGAACCATGAGTGTCTTCTTTTTTAATATTCAACACACTAGTGAGGTGTCCGTGTTGACGCTGTTATAGACCGCTTGCAGATGCGTTCCATAATCGACGCGCGAAGGCGCGCGACGCCATGTTGTGGGACAAGCGTATATCTATCTATGCACATTTTGTCCCATAACATGGCGTCGAGCACCTTCGCGCGTCAATTATCGATCGCGTCTGCAAGCGGTCTATAGTGACCACTGTTCATGCAGCGCGCCCTCTATAATTTTGTCTCCGTGCAAGAAAATAAACTAGACCGAAAAGTGTATAGCTGCAAAAAGTGTTTGGGTAAAATGCCTCTCCTGCTGCAGTAAGCTGAAGACGGTCAGAGCATACTGACCGGAACGTCGAGTTTATACCTCTGGTTCTTTTCAGAACCATTCTCTTAGTTGAGAAATTATTCGCACATGGTGTTTCCGCAATTCGCAAACCTTTCATTATTTAGTTTCTCCATGGAGGTACCTCCATGGTTTCTCCACCATGCAAAGCCTCAAATCTTACTTAAAAACAAATTGAAGAAAAATTAAGATTGTTTATTTTTGTAATTATCGTAAATAAACCTTTGACAAAATACTTTCACTAAGTGACAAAATTAGGGGGATTATAGGCCGACATATCAGTGTCACAACTTTGTTCAGCCGACGCTGACAAGAGGCCGAGGTTTTGAAAACCTCACGGGAAAGATTCCCTATGCACTTCATTTATATCGTAGCTGAAGTGTCAGTGGGTACCAGACTAATTTAGATTTTAGCGCGGATTTCGTATCATGGACACCATGGAGCTCCATGCGCACACGTAGCCCTACTCGTCATTCCATGTTTTTCCAAAATCTACGGCTTTGAAGCCTAACCCTACACGAAGTATACTGCCTGCTGAGATGAAGTGGAATGTTGTATTGCTAGGTTGTTTGGGGCTGTTCAACTTCAATGATTATTTTCTTCCGGCCGAAGGAAACCATTTCATTTTTCAGGGCGAACCATTTTTGCATCTGATCTGTTCACAACTGAGTGACATTGCTGGTGATTTACCCCGGCACTAGGTTGAGGCAGTAATCATTGAGCGTGGATTTTCTGCTTAAATCGGTAGGTGCATGGTGCATTTCTGGGTAGTTGCAAATAATTATGGGAGTAATTGCAGAATACCCCGCCACTCGGAAATACACCCCTAAATTCTCTGGCTACGAGGTTGGAATCACTGGAAAAGAAACAATTCAAGTCCATGCCAGCTACGCGGATACTGAATGGGGGTCCATTATTTGAGAACAAAGCAACACAAAAGGAATGGGAGTTGCTGAAAAAAATCTAAGTCCAAACCAACCACCCTGTTGGCGCCTACGCGGATACGGAGTGGGAGTCCCCTTGAATGTGCTTGAGAACGAAGCACACAAAAGGAGTTGCTGAAAAAATTCAAAGTCCAAACCAACTACCCTGTTGGCGGCTACGCGGTTAGGAAGTGGGAGTGCAATGGAGCATGACGCATAGTACATACAAGTAGCGCTGAGAATGTTTATTGAGGTCAACCAACCGTGACCTCGTAGCCGGCTACGAGGTGGATAGATCGAGTGGCGGGGTATTCTGCAATTGTCGCATTATGGTTCAGGTTAATCATTTCGTTATGATAGTCATGATTATGAAGTTAGTTGGCACATTTTGTCTCAATCGCGTTGTCTGGTTGTGGGGCGATCATGTATGTAGGCCTAGTTACGGTCCCCTCTTTACTTTTGATCAAATTAGACTCCAGGGTGTTTTTTTATCATTCAAAATGACCCTTCCTCCATGTTTCAACTAAAGCAGACTTCTCTAAATTCAAATGACAATTTTTTTTTTGTAATTTTGAACAGTTTCTTGGCGTAGAATTCTAGAAATGGTTGTACACGGTTTACGGTTGGTGCCGTGCGATCGATAATTGCGTAGTTGTTTTTTGTTTTAAATATGCCAGCCGTCAAAAAAGCTATTTGAATACTCGGTTGACGATCAAATATTCACATAATCCATATAATTGCGACAACCCTTATCTACTGTCAGTTCACAAATGACTTTCTCCTCGGACAGAGTAACGGCTTGTACAAGACCATGAGGAGGCAAGAAACACTGGTGGCTCGCCGCCAATCTGACCGGCAGCAGTACCGATTTCTCTTATCCGGCTTCGCTGATCACGAAAAGGCAGCCCTGGCCGAAAGCATCTCAAGACTGGGCGGTAAATACCTCGACTCAAAGGTATCTGTTCTTTTTGAGAGTTTTGAAATCTATCAATTACAACAATGTAATCAAATTAGGAAAGAATGCAAAATTAACCCCAACCTTTCCAAATGCTCCAAAATCCTCTTTGCAAAACGGAGGATTTTGCAGAATTGAGGCTATATGGCAAAATTGTGTGGCTGATTTTGGAGAATGTACTGTGTAAATATGGTCAAGGTCTTGGGCTGGACCTGATGTTGTTTATGCCATTGTTTATTCAGCCATGCATAAATTTAGGCCTACATGTAGATTATACTAGAAATCCTCCGCACTGCTCCAGGATGTCACTGGCTCTGCCTTGACATATTGACAGTGATTGCTGGAGGATTTTGCAGGATTGAGGCAGTGGTCACCCCTCCAAGGACCACATTCAAGAAATAACGGAAGAGTTTGCAGGATTGAGGATGTATGCAATTTTTACATTGGAGGCAGTTGGAGGATTTTTTTCAGGATTGAGGATGTCCCCTGCCAAAAATGCCTACAGAAGTTAGGGTTAAACAAGGGGTAACTTAAGGTTTAACACTGAGGTAACCGAGAAAACTCTGTTAAACCTTGAAAACCTAGAGGTATTAAACCTCAAGTTGCCTGTTCAATTTTGCATTCTCCCCTAACATACACACCTGTGTGAATTATGGATTAGTTCAATTAAATTATTATTTTTGGCCAAATTCTTTAACATTCTTCGTTAAATTAAGAAACATCCTGGTATTTTATTTTTTAGTTTGATTTTTGCCTAAAATGGACCCTTTGACTCATGCAACATTTTCTTTAACAGACGTTTGTGCCAGATAGCACCCATGTCATCAGTGTGCGTCCAATGCGGAGTGAGAAGTATTTGTGTGGCTGTGCTGCAGGTAATTTATTTAAAAGCTCATGTGCAAATTAAGAAAAAGAACCAACATTCACAATTGTGTTGGTCTTTTTAAATCTGGAACCTCGGCTTTATTTCCACAAACACCACTCTGTGTTTAATGCACTAGCACAGAAATTCTTCCCTAGTCTACAAAGCACAGAATTCAAAGTTAACAGATGTTGCCATGTGCACAGGTCAAACTTCTTTGCTAACCAGTGATGATGAAATATACTTACCATAAGTGCGGTGTGCCAAATTTTCTGTTACATATTGAGGCGATTCTTTGGTACAGTTGCACAACCATATATTCAGGCATGCAAGTTTTCCTCGGATCCGCTGATTTACAAATTACAAATTGAAAAATTACAAATTGAAAAACAATGTACAAAGTTTTGGGTGGTTTTGAATGTCCTCGTTTTTTTCTAAACTTCCCAGTTGCATGCCTGTATATTGGGACCAAATGCCAAAAATCATAGAGCTACGTCTAAAATAATTGCTTTATTTAACCTGTTTCTGATGTGCAAGATTCTTGAAAAAAATTCTCCGCCTTGTGCTTCCATAAAATTTGCCCTCCCTCTGAGTCCCTCATATGATGCAGTTTGAGTAATTGTAATGCAATACTGTCTACTCCCAGGGAAATGGATAGTAACGCCCGATTTCGTGAAGGCGAGTTTGGCTGCCGGCCATTGGTTAGAGGAAGAACCTTACATCTGGGGCAACAATGAGCCCAGCATTGTAGACGAGCGCTCTGCGTCGATGGCGAGCGCCCCCAAGAGGTGGCTGACCCACCACAGATTGACGAATCAACGAGCCTTCACAGGATGGACGGTCATTATACTGGTGACGAGCAACAACAACAGGCCTGCTGTGTACAAAAGGTACTCCATTTAATGTGGGGACATGTTTGTAAGCATGTAATCGCAAGTCAAACACAAGCCAATCGCAAGTCATCCATAATTTTCAGGTTATCTGGCAAGTAATTCCTTTTTTAAAATTGTTCATCCCCTGTTACAATAACCTGGGGTTGTGAAGTTGTATTTTTTTTATTTTATTGAATTAAAGGTAGTACATGTATACAACATTTGCTTTTACTGTTATTTTCAGGGGTGTGAAATCTCAGCTTTAAAGCTGATTTCAGCTTTTTTTTTGTTTTAGATTTCAGCTTTTTTTCACTCGATCACTTGCTGTGTACAAAAGTATAGGAGATTTCCAAAGTTCAGCTTTTTTACACCTTTTCCGGCTGTTTTCAGCTATTTTTATCAGTGGTCACTCACACCCCTGTATTTTCAAATATTGTTACACTGACCAGACTTTGTTTGTAGATGCTGGGAAAACCTAGAAAAAATATGTTGTTCTTCGTGTCTGGTTCCCTGACCCTGCTTCAGATGAAACAAAGCAAATTATAGAAGTCGAGAATTGTCAGGTCAGGGAACCAGACTAGCTGGTGATGGCATGCACCCGTTCATGAATGTGTAACAGATTGCAAACAAAATGTGGACTATTAATTTGGTAAATTGGTGGTAGTATGTGAAAGAAATCAGTTCTTTTCCCCGAACGGTGTTCGACCGACCGTTGTTAAAAAGTGATACAAAAATGCCCACTTTTCTTGAAAATGACAGCATACCAGATGCCATGATTTCACAGGATGCTTGAGACTTTTATTCACTTACAGTCTGAGTCCAGTAAGGTTTTTCATCATAATTTGGTTGTTTTGTTTCTTATATTTGCAAATGTTGCATATTACCTGTAAAGTACAATTGTGATGTGATAAAGCTATAAAATGAGTCGTTTGTCGGGAATTTTCATTTGCAGGCCAAAATAGGGCCACTTCATCACATCACTTCATCACATTTCTTGGTATTCCGACTTAAAAAATTTTTGAACTAAAGATAGTATCAGCATGCGTTTTTCACAGCAGTGATGCTGAGATTGTTCTCTTCTCAAATCTGTAATAATAAAAAAAATTGACCGGGTTGACAAACAGCTTATTTAGCTTATCACATCACTAGTTCTTGTAATTAATGTTCCCTTCTTTCAAAAAAACTTGACCCACAAATATATTTTATTCCGAAGTTTGCATGTTTTCTTCTTCAGGTTGATTGAGTGCGGCGGGGGCACAGTCTTGTCCCTGAGACCCCCCATCAGAGATCCCGACAGCCTGGCCAAGCTGCTCACTCACACCTTTGTAGATAGGTGCTACGAGCAGAAAGTGCGCTCCCTACGGGATCGAGGAGTGCCGTGCCTGGCTCCGGAATTCTTAGCAGAATTTCTGTTTGAGGTTGGTTGAAAGCATTTCCGCGGTCAAGTCCATCACAAGTGAAGCACGAGTAAATTCTTGTGTCATTTTACAAGTAACACTAGTGATTAGCAAAAGTGAAGGAATGCCTTTGTTATAGCTTGCAACTTGGCTTAGGCCAAAACAAATAATAGTTCTGCTTCCAGTAACCCTACCTACCCTATTTTAACAGCCCAGCCTACCCTAATTTTTTTTTCGGGGGGGGGGGGGGAATGAGAAAAAAACCCCGAAAATCATCAATTACTACCTTTTACCCTTGACTATACACACAGACACCTCCATATGATCATACACAAACAAAAATTGCCCCCCCCCCAAAAAGTTTCCCTACCTACCTACCCTATTTTCAAATGCCATGTAATCGGAAGCAGAACTTTTTTCATTGGGGGGCCTTATCATAAGAAAGATAGACGATTATAAGATAGACCTGACATTAATTGTTTCCTCCATTTTCAACATGTTTTTACTGTAGACATTACACTTTTCGAGGCCTGCAGTTACATAATTTCCCGCTATATTTATTTCTGGACGTCAAATATCATGCCTGGCTTGGGTAATTTCTTTAAGCCAGTATACATGTATGAAGATTTAAATGTTTCATTTGATAGAAAATTCCAAACCAGAAGAAGTACGACATCGCAACGTACAAGCCTGAAACGTCGTCAGAAAACAGTACACCAAAGGGAGCAGGCTGTGTCAAAACTTCACAAGGTGATTGCATGAAACAGTCTACATCTAAATTTATTTCAAGGGCCTGTGACATGGATTTTCCGTGGGAACATTATTTTGTGCAACTTTCTACTCTTCTAAAATGTCTGAAAAACAACTTTGACAACTTTTTTTGGTTAATCTTTTGAAGTGAACTTTTATAGGCTTTACCAGACAAATGAGAATGCTGTTGCTGTGATGTCATTTCAGGAAGACACTGTTCAGTTGAGGGGTTTTCTGTTCAAATTGTGAACCCAAAATTTGCTAATTGCAAACATTGGTGAGAAAACTTTGCTGAGTGGCCTACTGTCGTTTACTGAAATAACCATGAATCACCAAAGACAAGAACATTTACGATGGCAAATGTTTGTGCTAAAATAGCTTTTACATCAAGTTTCACACTTTTGCTCATGAATATGCTAATCATTAGTATAAAAAGCCTAAAGGCACCAAAATGCCCTTAAAAATAGCACAAAGGTGCATTTACAAGGACTGCATTAAGAAAATTGAATCACATGGGCCCTTTAAATTAAACTTCCCAATTTGATATTGCGATAAAGCCCTGTGCAAGCAATAAATTGCACTCTGATCTGCTTGATAGCTACAACAAAAAAAGAAAAAGAGGGTGCAAAATACATTGGCATCAGTTTATACACAAACACCATGCATTTTCTTCTTCTCGTATACATGTTAAACCTTTCCAGTTCACCTAAAACTTTCCCCAAAGTGACTCCACTATGTGTTTGCACATTCCTCTCTCTGCAACTGTACTATTTGCATGAAGCATGGTACACTGTAAAAACTGCCAAAGGGTATTGAAAGATAGCTTGGCCATGCTGTGAGGAAACTCATTGATCAGCAATAAACAATGAGAGCAAAGTAAACAAGTCTGTGGTGAGATCCCCCAAGACCTCCTATATAATCCCTCCAAACTAGCATTTTGTGGTCAAGCTGTTAATTAGCCTTTCAATACACTCCAGTTGGAACACTTCTGTTGGAGTGCATTGGCATGTCAAAGGTTTGAATGGTGCACTTGTCTTGAACTTTTCCTTGACATTTTCAAGTGAGAATTGAATTTTTTGTTGACGAGTCCGTTACTCTAACTAATTCAGACTTTTAACTTTATGGATACACTGATGAACATATTTCAAATCACAAAATTTTGTTTGGATTTAAAATCAAACAGGATGCAGTGTCCGGAAATTGGGCACAAGGTTTGTGGTACATACATGTATGTATTATTATTATTATTATTATTATTATTAATCATTTCTGGTAATGAAACCAAGGATTCCTCAAAAGCGCCCTAGGCACTGTAGCTCGCAAGCCTGAAGAAACCTGTAGAGAGAAGACAATGAGAAGCAATTACAGTTTTAGAGGTGGGAGGAAAAGCCCAGAACAATATTCTGGGGAAAACCCACGGAATCAGGCAGGGACTGAAAACCCAATCCACATATTGGCCCAGGCGGGATTCGAACCCGGGTCACAGCGATGGAAGGCGAGGAAAGTACCCCTACGCCAACCTGACTCCCCTACGCCAACCTGACTCCCCTACCTTTTATCATGTAACTGCAACGCTACCCAGATTTCGGACACGGATTTTTGTTCTTGCGTATTTTCTGATTTCTTTCCCCTATAGGCCAGTTTCATCTCTGAACTTTGGCTGGCAATGTACTTTGGTTGAAAACTAGCACGATATGAAAATTGTTCCTTTTTCTTTCAAAATCATTTGTATCTGTAGGACACTCTGGCAATCATATCATTTTCACTCCAGTGACGGCAACAGCTGCCAAAGCCTCGCATCGAGGCAAGAATAGATCACAGAAATTAACGCTGAGCCAATCCTCGTCAGAGTCGTTGGTACTGACCAGCTCCTCCCAATCCAGCCAGAGCTCCGCTGTAACTGGTAGCCCGTTGGTGGGCAGAGCTAGGAACCAGTCGAAGTTGACCCAGTCACCTCTGACCCAGTCAACTTTGACCTCAGGCTCAGTTCGGTCTCCGGGTCGTACCCCGTGGAGCAGGGCGGACTCGAGTGCCGTCAACGGAGACTTGGTGGTCAAGAGAAAGTTGAAGTTTTCGTCCACTGTGGTGCAGGAGACAGTAGCTGAAGTGAAGAGGAAGGTATACAAATATTAGAATCTAAACTCAAATCCTATAGTATCATGTTTTAAAATCTGACTATTTGAGTTCGAGTGGTTCTATTGCAATTTTCATAGCACCAACAGCTGTGTTTGCTTGGATTTACATTTGAAAGAGTGTATTTGGACAGTGTTTAATGAGATTTGCTAGTTAAACTGTGATTTGGGAAAATCAAGAACCTTTGCTTACACCAGACCTTAATTTGCCAAAAGTGACTTCCCTCCTTTAATTATTATTATAAATTTTACATTTATACATTATACCTTGAAAAAAAATAGTTTATGCATTTATATTGTGCAAATTCCATAAGAATATGATCGAATGCGTGTCACAATTATTGATTATTGCACTGCCTTGCATTGCCTGCACAAGTATAAGTCATATTGGGTGGCATGGGTGACTTGTGCGTAAAGCGCTCACCTCTCACCAAAGTGACCACGGTTCGAATCCTGGCCGCGGATCGCATGTGAGTAGAGTTGTGCGTTGGTTCTCTCCTGTGCCACAAGGGTTTTTCTCCGGGCCCTCCGGTTTTCCTCCCTCCGGAAAAATCAAACACTTTCGATCTCAGGCTGTGCTCCGTGGTCATATATGGGTTGATGTGGCCGGCAGCCATAGGCGCCTTTACGTGCCAGCGGCCCGACCACGTTGTAGCCGCGTCCTTCGCAATTCAGCATACCAGCTGTGAGTAAGGATGATTAGCCTCCCAAATTATTATTATTATTCAGGACTCACTGTCGATGAACACACCAATTTACATGTAAACAAGTCTATAGTGAGCTTCCTGGGCCCAAAAACGGATCCCTTCTGATCAGTACCATTGCCAAAACTTGATAATGTACAGGACTCATTCTATCAATTTTGACTAAGTACATGTAGCTGTTTTCGAAAAAGTGTGATTTGATCTACTGTAAAGTGTAGATTTGAGGTGTATACACATGTGTGCGCTATGCATGTTAGTTTTGCCCTCAATAAAACAAATAGCCCTTTTCATCAGGCCAGCAAATCATTCTTGAAATTTTGAGGTAAGGTTTTTTTTAACACAGACAGATAAACAAACTTTCATTAATACTGTTACAGCAATCTGCAGGTCATTACTCCCGTGTGCCGTTTTGGATGCAAGTGCAGCCTCCAAAATATCAAGTAAGTTATCTTTTCACAAGGCCTTCTTTACTCTGCTTCATTTTACATATCTTGATGTTAAGACCAAAAAAAAAATTTCTGCTTCCGGTTTCCCTATATACCTACCCTATTCTGACGGCCCCTACCCTAATTTTTTTTAAGGGGAGAATGAGGGGGAAAAAAACACCCAAAACCATCAATTTCTACCTTTTACCCTTGACTACATGCAGACGCCTCCATATGATCGTACACAAACAAAAATGGCCAAAAAAACCCAACCTACCTACCCTATTTTCAAATGCCATGTAATCGGAAGCAGAACTAATTGTTTTGGCCTAATAGCCATATTTGGCGTAATTTAAAGATTGCGAAATTTTGTTTCTTGATTCAGGATGACCCAGTGGTTGCCATGGCATTTCCCACAGTTGTCAGCAACCTCATTGAAGCTTACTTGGAGGAGGATTTCTGGCTGAAGGCGGTGCACAGCATACACGCCCACCTGTCGTCCAAGAAATACCCGCCCCCCTCCCTGATGCACGTCATCATGAGCAAGATGCTTGAGGTAACGAAGTGATAGACATTTTGTGTTTGGAGATGTACTTAACTGATTTTTTAAGCATTGAACACTTGGAAGCTTTTACAGTGGACTGTTTACCATACCTAATACCAAAGATTAATCGGAATAATCATTCTTTACGGGATTTCAGCAAAAAGTCTTGGTAATATACACAGGGCGAGTCAAAAAAAGCAGAACCCAAACCCACAAAATTATATTTCATATTTAAAAAAAATATGTAGCACCAAAAATAATAATGTCTTGAAAGCCAATTTCATGAGCTACTGAAATTGCTCAGTCCGTTAAAAGAATATGACCCTAAGACCTCTTTCGTCCAAAAAATGCGATTTCAAGAATCGTCATCACAATGGTCTTCAAACATCACCAGTGATGAAACCTCGATTTAAAAGTTAAAAATATTCAACAAAGTCCTTTTGAAGGCCCGTCTTAAAAAAAAATGGATTTTATAAATCATATTGTTTGCCTAACCAGGGTTGTTAATAAAGATATTGTTGTTGAAACAAGTATTCTGTGTCATTTTCTTTGTTAATATTCCAAACAGTCAGATTACACAGTAAAATGTTCATCTAAAAGTAGTTTCGGAATTTGACTTTCTAGTCATTATTATTTTGGTGCTGCATATTTTTTTTTTAATGAAATGTACTTTTGGGGGTTTGGGTTCCGCTTTGTTTGACTCACGTTTCAACTCATAAAATTGTAATGCCCAGTTCCATCAGTTCAGTAGAACGCGGCTGTGATGAAAACCAGATGAATCTTGGCACATTTATGTATTCAGGGTGACCCCAATAAATGCTGAGAGGGTTCAGAGTAATAATCATGGTAATGGTCACGGTTGTCTCCTGAGTGTAAAGTGTGGTTTCATTGTTCGTGGAATGCCATTTTCTTTCACTTTACATACATGATTTAAGAGCCTCTGTGAAGAGTATTTGCATCCGTTAAACTGTTCAAGTATCAGCTAGTTGGCTTTCTTGAAATATATAAAATGATGTTCTTTGTATATTTTTTTTACAAGCCCGCGTAAATCCTGCAATTTGTCCATTTTGGTATAGTGCATGTAAAAGTGAATCGGCAGTGTTTCGAATATTAAAATATTTGATCAAATCCATGGTTTGAATGATCAAATACTAAATTATTAATAAATGCACGTATAAAAATTACCAACTTATTAAAAAAAGTCTTAAAACTTCATTTGCTATACCCGCTGCCCTTCGTTTCTTCCTTGTCTTTTCAAATCCCATCTAATGCTGATATTAGTCTGAAACTGGTTTTTTTTAAAATATTTTTCTCCCAGTCAACAGATGTAGCCTACAAGAACCACGCCATCCACCTCTTGAAGTCTGTCCTGTGCCTACACAGGCCAACTACCCCTGAGATGTCCAGTATCTACTTACAGTCATTTGTGCCTGCCAACGACAGATGGTTTGGGCTGGAGAGTGACGATCCAATCAACATGCCATGGGATTTCATTGGCAGCATCATCAGGTACCAGACCCCACAAAATAATGGTTAGAAGAAGGATACAATTTACCGGTCCTCTCCGAGGGACCCCCAATTTGCCATATGTGGGAAATTTTCTAAAATGAAAACCAGGCTTCATGGAAAACCAAAACAGATTCCGTGTTTATGTTTTTGTGCAAAAGATGACGCTCTCAAAAGTTAAAATTTACATGATAAAGCTATGAAGCCTCTCAGACAACTTACGGGATTTGAATTTTGGGGTTGGGTTTCTTTTACGGATATCCGGATACCCGTGTTTTATCACAATAGGGTATCCGGTTCCTGTACTACCCGCAAAAGCACACCACTAAACCCTCATGTACTTTTTGTCTCTGGCACAATTTTTTTTTTCATTCAGGAAATCTCTGCAGAGGCCACAGAGCGAGGCTGACAGGAAGGACACTGAACAATCCACCACAGAGCTAGCTGCCCTGAGGCACAGTGCCGAGTTACTGCTTGGCTACATAGTGGCTGTACTAGAACAAGATTATCAGGCCTTCAGTTACAGGTATATTCAACACAAGAGGAAGAAAACGAGACTAGGTTTGGGGAGTTTAGCGAGATCCAAAAGTCCCAGTTCAGCACGCTATTTATACTCGGACTTGGTCAGTCAATCAGTCAGTCAGTTTTAGTGACTTAAAATACAGGAGGCTGGCCCATTGTAGGGTTCAGGAAAAATTGCTTGTAATAGCTTGTTTTTGTGTGTGTGCAGAACTTGGTTGAGGAAAAAGCAGAGGGTGATACACTCAAAGTATTCGACTCCTGCACAACGGTGGGTTTTGGAGAATTTGTGCATATTTGTGGCAGAATTGCTTAGGAAGTATCATACCATCATATACCAAATGTGGAGTGTGATGGCCTAGCGGTTAAGAACACCGGACTCACGTTCTGGTGTTTCAGAGGCAACAGTGACGTGGGTTCGAGCCCGCTGGCGGACACTTGTGCTCTTAAGCAAGGCACTTAACCATTATTGCTTCGTCCTTCGGATGGGACGTTAAGCCGTAGGTCCCGTGTGTTGTATAAATGCACGTAAAAGAACCTAGTAAACACTTATCGCTAAGAGAAGGGGTTTGCCCCGGTGTTTCTGGCCTCCTGTATAAACTCCCACGTGGAGTATTTAGGAGAACCAACCAAGAACCAAGAACCCAATTTTCACTTCGTAATTCTGACTTTAAGAATAACAAAGACTGCTGTAAAAATTTGAGGATTAAATCAACGCCTTGGGATTACAACAAATATATTTTAAAATTCTGATAATACAGTAAATAGGAGTAAATTTTGCAGGAACACCATGGGAATTTAATCAACCTTTCTGCATAAAAGCATGTAAAATGGCAGCAAAAATATGTTATCAGTTATCATTCGATGCTTAGATGTACAGTGTAATAAAAAAATTTGCTTGTATCACCGGACCCCTGGTCAACTTGTGCTGATGACCTAAAATTTCAGCTCTCATTTGTTAGATTTTGTTTCACCGGTACACCGGTGAAACAAAATCGAACCAATCATGTGTACGCAGTGGACACCGCGGTACACATGATTTGACAGTGGAGGTTTTAGCTACCAACAATGCTTTGTGAAACTCTCATTTTCTTCCAAATTTTTTTTGTGATTGAGACTCGCATGCACTGGCACCCTTGAAAAGGGTGATGGGTATTATCATACCGGGGTACTGGAAATGACGTGAAATTGCTGAAAATTGTTGATACAAAAAATACATCTTTATTTTGTATGAGTTTGAAATCAGCGAAAGTGGTATGTCGATGATTATACATTATCTTGAGACTGTCAGTTTTTGTTACAGGTCTGAATTCTTAAGACAACTCATCCGAGTTTTCTTGCTGAATTTTAAACCTTTCTTGTTGGTTGGTATACAGGGAAGAAAATGGCATCAAAAGGGGAAAGACCCGGCACTGCATGTTGTCACAGATTCTGTGGCCGAGTCTTAACATCAAGGCTTCCTCTCCGATCGTCAGACAGTTGATAACATTTCTGCTACGAGCCGTTTCACTGGTGGAAGAAACGGCAGATATGGTGAGAGTTATACGCCTTTTTCAACTGAAAAATTAAGAATGAATTGAGTATTTGAGTATGGACTTTATATATTACCCTTATAATAAATTAATTAAAATAAATCATAAATGACCCTTATAAAATATGAATTACCCTTTTAATAGTAAGAAATGTGTGATACACCACCTTGCCTGAGATTGGTGATCCTATTATTGTAACAATGTGAATTTTGTAAAAAAAATAATAAAATAACTACAACCTTTGGATTTGTCTGTTTTTATTGTTTTCTTCAATGGCGCATTTCAAAGTGAATGATGTATTTTTTATATTGATTGACAAAATGGCAAATGATTTTTATTTTTTGGGATCAAACTCGAAATGGCTGGGGAATACGTCTTTAAATATCAATGTATATTCAACAAAAACTATCACGTAGTCTAAACCGGTGTCATATGAAATTCGGACTGACAGACTCCTATGACATTATGACTCCTTTACTCTGTTAATATTGGTTAAACTCTCTCATGTGAATGGCGACTCTCCTAATTATCTTAACTTAAGGCTTGCGCAATGTGTATGTCATAGAGTCCTTAATTCACGCTAAGCCAGTTCCGTTTCCATAATTATTCCAAGTCACAACCCTTTGAGGGATCTAGAACGCATTGACGCAAAGACACTTTAGGTTTTGTGCACATTAGGGAAAAAAGTGGTTGCACGTATATTTACGCAGAGAGACAGTCTTAAGGAAGTGCTACTGTTCATTCACAGATTCCATATTTTTTGGAAAAAGAATTGTTTCCATGGAAGCCGACATTTTATCACCTGCGACACGTTCCTACTTTTCGTTTGCAGTACCCCTGTCTGAGGATGATTATAACATTGGTTGAGATAGCCGCGGAGTGTTGCAGGATGTTTGCAGGGGACAGCAGCATCCTGGGAAACCTTGGGAGTGGCGCTCATCAAGACTTGGCTGTGGAGATTGCCTCAATGGCAATGCAAGGTAGGACACGCAAACCAATGTCTCACAAGCTACTGAGCAGGATGTTGCATTGTATATGTCTATCTCTTGTGTGGTGGTTTGAGAGTGTGTGCATTTACTGCTTAATGTGTGTTTATTGTTTGGGAAATTATTTTGCTGGTCAGTTGCATGTCGGAATGACGTCATAGGTGACATAGCCTATTTATGAAACCTATCTCTCTTTGCAGACGGACTTGCCGATAAAACAGAATCCCTGAACATCCTGTTATCCCTGCTGCATCCTGATTGGCTGAAGCTGAAGGTGACAGAAAGCCTGTTTAGTGCTTACCATGACAGTGTGGTGTCTGATGAAAACAGGCACATGGCAAGCGAGCTTCTGTCTCTCAAGAAAGTGGTATGTGGTTTACTCATTTGGGTGTAGGGAACTATACTGCACGAAAAAAATGTCCATTCAAAATAAGAGCATCATACAGAAATGTCCCATGGCAAACTAAATCTGATTTGCTCAAAATTAACTATTAATGAGCTGAGGAATGCGAACATTTCAGGATAATTCAGAGAAAAAAGTAAAACCACTACTTCCCTTGTCATAACTTTAATATGTAACCACAAAACTAGCCTTCAATTCAGTAACATAACTGTTAATCAGATTAAGCCTTTCAGACTGGGGTTTGAAAGTCTATCCCTTTTTTAGGGATGGACTTTCTATACTCCTCATTAGGCCACAAAAAAAAAGTCTCCGGTTTCTGGTATGGAGCTTGCCCCAAAAAGTGGTGCGGCGACGCGGCTTTTTTTTTTTTTTTTACCTGTTTTTAAAAATTTTTTTGTGGCTTCAAATGTCGGCTGATGACTGCGAATGGTGCCCGACTAAACTTAGTGCAAATATATGGGAGTCCAGAGAGGCCACATAAAGCTTATTCTCGATCATAACCCCATCTAAAAACACGTTAAAATTGTGCAGCAGCAGGATTCCAGTCAAACCAGTGAGTTTGGCGGTTTTGAGACATCATCTTGTATTGAAAAAAAAACTTTTTCATTTTGCCGACGCGCATGGCTACGGTGACGCGCGGGCATACCAGAAACCGGAGACTTTTTTTTTGTGGCCTTAATGGAAAAGCAGGTAGATCTTGGCATTTTCACAATCTATGGAAAAGCCTTTGGTTTTTGTTCAGATTCAGATTTGTTTTTGGTTCTATCCCAAATCCCATAGACTTCGATGGCACATTTTTAATGCTCAGATCTTGATCAAAATTGTGCACATTTCTAAGTCCTTTATCTACAGAACTACATGCGTTATAGATGAAAAGTTGAAATGATAACGTCACGATGACTTCAATTGATTTTTTTTAATGAATTTTTCATATTTTTATATATTTTTTTCTTTAAATAAATTTATATTTGGTGCATTTACATGTAGATCTACTTGAAACTGGGCATCTAAAAAATATAGGCGTGAAAAGTGATGTCATATGTCAGGTGACTTTAGCTTAAAAGTGCATTGTTAAAAAGTCCTAAATGTATATCCAGGAAAAAGCCCTCTGTTCTGTCCTTAGACATAGATCTAGTTATTGTTATTTTTGGTGTCTACTAAGAGAGATATCAGTTGGTACAATAATTTCATTAGGAATAATTAATTAAACAATACATTTCAAACTCACAGGAAAATTCAATACATATTACGCTAAAAAGTGTAATGAAACTGAAAATGAGGTAGCCAACTTTGCAATTTAATAATCTTACTAGTGCAGGGCCCGTTGAAAATGTGCCTGTTCGGAAAGGGCAGAGAACTGCTCATTTAAAGCCAGAGTCCATCATTTGCAGCTATCCAAAAGTAACTGGCGTAATTATTGTTGAATAACATACTTGGTTGAAAGATAGTAAGGGAACTAAACTGCCTGTGAAATTATTCTTTTTGGCAAGCTGTCATTTTGAAGAAATCAACGAAAGAAGGCCTTTCCAACGGTGTGTCTTAAGAAGCACCGTAGGAAATTCCCATAAGTAGTTCCTTTTTTTATTCGGCGAAGAGCGCGCAAGCGTTGACACGACGCACACACGCGCGTGGCTGCTATAATCACGTGCCCTTGCTACAGGAAAGCTCTTTCGCTTTCAAACATACAATCTTGTACACTCACATTAGCAGCGAAATCTCTCATCATTTGCTTCTATATTTTTGGGAACAGGTGAACTACTACTTTTATCTCATACCCCCGACGGCAAAACGTACTCTGTCCAGTGTAACGCCAGAAATCGCAGACGAAACGACGAACCCAAGGAAGAAGGCAAGAAAGGACAAACCGGCAGCTGTGCCCCTCAAGACCCTGGCGTAAGATTGTTTTCTGTTTCCGTTGATCATCTCATGATTTTTAGCACTGGTACACCTGTGTAAAATATGGAAACAGATTCCAACTACGGTCAATTGTGGACGACAAACTTGTACCTTTTTGAGCATGCAATTTATAATTCCCTTGGTTTTTAGGACAAGCAACCACACTGATAAGAATTTGCATCACTCCAGCCAGTTTTACAAGAAAGCGACCAAAGCGGACAACAAAGTGAACCGCAGGAACATGAGAGGTACTGAAAAAGGTTTTAATTCCACGGAATTATAGAAAAAATTATAGAAATATAGATGGCTGTTTTGGCCTGCACTGTAAGCATTAAAATGCCAAGCTTAGACTTGGATGGAGTTTGGAATTTGTGAATTTATTTATTGTTATTTGGCTTTCGGTAGGGATGGGCGAAAATTCATTGTTATTTGGCTTTCGGTAGGGATGTGCGTACAATACATGTTATAGAAAATTACACTGTAAGATATTGAGAAAAAAAATTCTCAAAATTAAATTCAAGGAAAGCTGGAAAAATTGGGTAGAGACCGAAAAACGTAGTCAAAAAGTTGGCCTTGACAGGATTCGAAGGGACCAATGGATCAGGCTTCGCCCACTTCACATGTGGGCAGCAACATGTGCACCTCTGCAGTACCAGCCTTGCATGTCATATGCAATACATGTACACATGACTTTCATCAGACACTTATAATCACAGCTTTGATTCACCTAATAATGGATTGTCAGTAGACCTATTAAGCCAAACCCTATTAAGGCCTGTTTGAAAACATCTGTCAAGTTGTTCCATAAGGCCAAAAAAAAGACTCCGGTTTCTGGTCTGCACACGCGTCGCCGAAGCCATGAGCATCGGCAAAATTAAAAAGTTTTTTTTTTTTCAATGTAAGATGATGTTTCAAAACCGCCAAACTGGTTTGACTGGTTTGACTGGAATCCTGCTGCTGCACATTTTTAACGTGTTTTTAGATGGGGTTACGATCGAGTATAAGCTGTATGTGGTCTTTCTGGTCTCCCATACGTTTTGCACTAAATTTAGTCGGGCACCATCTGCAGTCATCAGCGAACATTTAAAAAAAAAAACTAAGTTAAAAAAAGAAAAGAAGCCGTGTCGCCGCACCACTTTTGGGGCAAGCTCCTTACCAGAAACGGAAGACTTTTTTATTTGGCCTAACTGAACTGCAGCTGATTGGAAGGAGTGGGAACCATAGGACTTAGTTTTAATGACTAGGGTTGTCAACAGATTTATGGATAGAACCCAGTTTTGCAGCTGGTTGGTACTCCTGAACCAAACTTTGAAGATAAACAGGGGCTATACCATGGATACATTGATATGTGAGAACCAAAACTTTAAAATCTATTCTTGCCCGTATTGGCAACCAGTGCAAATCATGGAGAAGAGGTGTGATGATTCACGTGTGTGAGTCCTGGTGACAAGTCTAGCTGCAGAGTTTTGTATACGTTGCATTTACTAATTTGAGTAGCAGGCAGTCCATACAGTAAGCTGTTACATGTATCTATGACACATAACCAAAGAATGAATCGCTTTTTCTGTTAATTTTTTTATCCAACACATGTATTGTTTAATGGTACCAGTTTTATGAAGGGCAAATGAAGCAGCACCACACATTACTTATATGATTATTCACGGAAAGATAAGCATCCGGTAGAAGTCTTGGTTGCCTAGGTGCAGTGGGCGGGGCCTAATGGATGGGTGTATTGTTTGATCAACAGGAGAGACTCCACTCCATGTAGCCTGCATCAAGAATGACCTGGCTAAAGTCCGAGAGCTCCTGGCATGTCCAGCCATCCAGGTCAACCTGAGGGACTTTGCCGGCTGGACGGCGCTACACGAAGCAGCCAATCACGGCCACGTGGACTGTGTTAGGGAACTGCTCAAGTACCGGCCAAAACAAAAAATCACTGCTTACTTCACAGTTGGTGAGGTTTCATTTTTTCTATACAGAATTAACCTATTACAAAGCTTATGTCATTTCTTTCTGGTAATGAAACCAAGGATTCCTTAAAATTGTCATTGTCAATGTAGCTCGATAGCCTGAAGAAACCTCGGTGTAGAGAGGAGACAGTGAAAAGAAACTATAGTTTTAGAGGTGGGGAAAAAAAACCAGAAGAATATTCTTGGTAAAACCCACGGAATCAGGTAGGGACTAAAAGCCAATCCACATGTGATCAAGGCAGGAATCGAACCTGGGCCATGACTGTGGAAGGCGAAGAAACTAACCACTGCACCAACCTGACTCCCTAAAACACACTCCAGGTATCGGCGACAAAAACAATAGTTCAGATTCGGTTCTTCACTACTTTTATGTAGAATTTTCCATTACTGGTCCTAAAACCACAAAAGATTCACTACAGGAGAAAGCGGACAGCTTTGACCGAGTTAGGCCCTCAACTTTGGACACTCGAGTCTACATTAGGGTCCACATTTTACTTCAGAGTGTCGAAACTAAAGTGTCCTTCAACATCTTCTTTTTCAGAGTTTGTAGTTGAGTCAGTAACAAGTCCATCACAAGTCTGATCATAATTAACAGTAGGTTAACCATGTTAACATTAATAAGAGACAGTTCTTTTTAATGCTTGTGACTTGACTTGGGACTCGGTGACTTGTAATGGATCTGTGAGGTCGGACTCATGATGGATGTCACTACAAACCTGGCCATTTTCCTGTCCAAGGGTTACAGAATGTACTTGTCCATCCTTTAAAATGCTTAATAAATTATAAACATTGAAACATATTTTCTGGCATTACTAACTAATGGTGCATGCGCATGTACATTTGTATTTAATTTTTCAGGTAATGGCAAGAAATGTCAGGATTCGTTGGACCTCGTAGCAGCACCTACAGAATGCGGCACGACACCCCTACACGACGCTGTTAATAATGGTCATGTCGAGGTAGTAAGACTGCTAGTGAAGGCGGGGGGTAAGGCAAATATTTCATTGAGATTGGTATATTAAAAGGTCTACTTGAAAAAATCTCTGGGGGGGTCTTTAACTTTTTATTTTATTTAACAGATTTTAAAAAAAATTTGACAGAGCTTAGATTGGTCTTGTGTAAAATCAAATAGCATGTTTCTTGTACATATTCTCTTCAGGTAAAGCAGTATTGATGGCAAGAAACAAAGCAGGATTAGCACCATTGGACGTAGCCTTAGATGACCCAATGAAGCGTGCCCTGGAACTGGATGCCTCAAAGGGTAAACGGGACAATAACTGCAACAAAGAGAATATCTCCACATGTAGGTTTTCCCATATTTGGCTAGCTGCGAAGCAGATCCGAGCCCATTTAATACTAATTTCCGTCTTTGGTCTGCATTCAGATTAAAATGGTTTTTGCTTCTTGCTATTTTGATTTAAAAAATAATAGAAATCAGCTCTACGTCCTCAAATGAGGGATGGTGGGGTGGTGTGATGTGGGGTGATGGTGTGGTTTTATAGGATGGGGGTGGGGTGGGGTTGGGTGATGGGGTGGTTTGATAGGGTGAAGGGAATGGGATGGGGGATTGGCGTGATGGGGTTGGGGATAGGGTGTTGTAGGGAGATGGGCCAGATAGGGGATGGGGGATGGGGGGGGGGTGGACTTGGATGGGATGATATATGGGTGCTTTGATAAGGTGGGGGATGGGTGGGGTTTGGGTGTGGGGATGGAATCGGTGTGGGGATGGAATGGGGGTGGTTGGGGTGGGGGTGCATGGGAGTTGGGTGGTGTGGGGATGGGATGGGGTGCATATGGGATTTGGGGTTGGGTGATGGGATGGGGTAGTTTGATGGGGCGGGGGATTGGGGTGGGTTTTTTTGGGTGAGGTGGTGTGGGGATTGGGGGGGATGGGATGGCAGGGTGGTTTAAGATGGGGTGTGGGGGTTGGGTCTGGGGGTGCATTGGGGGTGGGGTGGTGTGGTGGTGTGGGGGACAGGATGGGGGTGGTTGGTGTGGGTGCATGGGAGTTTGAAGGGGGATTCACGATTGGGAGTGGGGTGGTTTGGGGGATGGGATGGGGTAGGGGTTGGGGTGCATTTGGGGTTGGAGGATGGGGGTGGGTCGGGGGATGGGGTGTAGGGGTGCATGGGGTAGTTTGATGGCGTGGGGGATTGGGGTGCAGTGGTGAGGGGGATGGGATGGGGGATGGTTTGATAGGGTGGGGTATTGGGTGTGAGGGATGTGGTGGGATGGGGTTTGGTGGGATGGGGGTGGTTTGATAGGGTGGGGGTACGGTTTGATAGGCTGGGGGATATGGGCCGTGGGGACTGGATGTGGTTGATTGGGTGAAGCGCGGTGTAGGGGGTGGGGTGTGGGATGGGTTGAGGTGTGCTGGTGGGGCTGATGATGCACAAGGTCATTTGGTGACCTTGATGTCGGCATATGAAATGCTGACACACTCCACCCTGATATCCTTTTAGCATACGCATTCATACCTTAAATTTGTGTTATATTTAATGATTGGTGTTTACTTAAATGTGTGTTATGATGCCAGACCTATGTTTAACCTGACATGCATCTTGTAAAAATAAGTGGTGTTCTGTGGCAGATGACTTTCAAAGTGTGCAACATACATTCCAAGTAAGACACCCGATCATTTCTCCCTGAGCTCTCTCCAATTTGCACTCAAAATGGGACAAGGAGGGCAAAGGCACAAGTATATTGATTTCGATAGCAATGACGCCTTTCATAAGCATAAACAATTTTGTTTCCAGATTCGGATAGCCAGAAACACTACCACAGCCAACCAGACACACCCTCCAAACGTCTGTCTGGTGGCATGCAAAACGCCTTGGCAACCGAAGATGTGTACACCCGTGTGCTTGGCACAATACAGGACCCCAAGATATTCGTCACAGTGGAGAAATGCGAGCAGTTTTGCGTTCTGGTTTGCCACCTCCTGCAGTCCTGCCTGAGAACCCACAAACTGGTATCCATCAAAGCTGGTCTCGACCTCCACCACCAGTCGACCAATGGGATCAAATATGCAAATTTGGGGAATACACTGCCCTCATTGGTACAGTACAAGATGGTAATGTCCCCATCTTGCAGTGATGCATGTGATTTTGACTCACAGTCCCAAGGTTCTCAGAATCCATCCGATATAGGGAGCCCTCTGATGGACGACCTTACTGAGATGTGTAATCTACGAAATCACTTGGCCGGCTTTGTTCACCACCTCAGCCGTATTGGGCCATGGGTCGGAACGGAACGCAGTAATGTCTGTAAAAAAGTGCTCCACGACATGACAATTTTAATAGAGTCGTGCTTGTAAGCACGTTTGCACTTAGCATGCGTAACCTTCATCTCAGACTGGTTAAATACAGATCTGGATATCAGAAGTATAGCTGAAAATATGGCTCTTCAGCAAAGACAGAGACTAAAATATTACCACCAAAAAAAACCTTCAAAAAGGTCACTGGTTGACCTTTGACATTGGTTGACTTTACTTGAAAGAAAGACCTGAAAATGCCATAAATGAGCTAGCTGCCAAAGATCTGCTGTCCTTTCGAATAGTGAAAATAAAATTAGAAAAAAAAATAAAAACCCCCAGACATTCCTTAGCCTCCTTATAATGTAAAAAAAAATAGTTTTTTAAACAATTAAACAATTAAACAATTGTCATTGTTAGTCAAATGCAAGTCCATACAAAACTGGGATATGGTATCTCACATGTTGGGCAAGTTTCCTGAGGAAAAAAAATAAGATCCATGATTGTTTTAGTGTACAAATCTAGCTTTTTATTTTTTATTTCTATTTGCCAATCATGGTTTCCCTAGTTCAGAAATATGAGTTGCAACTTCTTATGTTGGTCAAACATTTTACATAATGTAAATGATTCTTTGCATTTAATAATTTTTATCCTCTTTTGGTAAATTAAAATACCAATTACTTGTGTCAGAAAGATTCCTTTAATATTTATCATGATTCACTGAGCTAATTGGTCATTGATTGAAGACGGTTTTAACAGTATGAAGTCCAGTTAATCAGAACATTCAAAATTTATCCATTTCACTTTGTTTTCCATGACTTTTTTTTTCGTAATTTTTGTTGTTGCAATTAATGGTTCATTAATTGCGTATTACTTTGTATCGTTCACAGCATTATTTTAGGGGGTTCTGAAAGATTGAATGAATAGTTTTGTATTATTTATCTGTCTTGCCCTTTAGTCAAATACATGTAGTACTGAAGTTTGAAAAACTGATTTTGAGGTTTTTATTCTGGAAACAAAGACAAAAGACTACATTTATTTATAATGCCCCGTTTGCCTTTTTTGCTTATTTGTACTAAGGGTTTCAGGAATGTAGTGTTGTACATGTACATTGTTGTACATGTACATTGTATGTATCCAAAACTTGTGTAAGCATGTAGGGGTAAACCATTTTACTTTTTAATCCAATATTTTTATTTATTATTCGACTGTACCATAAAGTATTGCACTGATTTAAATTTCAGAAAAGGGCAAGTTTTTCCCATTGAACTGGGGTTGAATGGGCACCAATTGATGTACTTGATTGGAAAAGGAAACCCTTTTCACAAGTGTTGAAAAGGGGCTGGTTCAAGCCTCCTTAGTTTCCGAAACTAAGAGCAAATAAATGGTCATATCTTTTAGGGCACCGTGATCATGAATTACATTTTGTTTCTGAGATAGAGTCTGCTATGACAGAAATGACAGATTATTGGATGATTACAAAATGTATTTTACAGCCGATGTTTTTAATATATAAAACTATTTAATGACTGTTATTTAAAAAGTCCGAAATTATGATTTATTTGATATAATAATTTCGACTTATTCAAAGGCTCCTTTTTGCAACATCCAGGCTATTTTCTAATGCGAGAGGTAACCGTTGCAGTAATGTAAGCCTAACTATTGCGGAATTTTCTATACAAATTTTCTATTGTCTTTGTATTTCATATGAACCAAAACGATAGTTAAGAATAAAATACATCCATTAAAACCTCAAGTTTACTGTCGAAGTGGTTGTCATTTAAACTTATTAAAGAAGTACCGCCTGCAGTATTTTCGAGTTTAATCTTTTTTCTTCTTTTTTTTTTAATAATACTTTTTATGGCAATACCAAATTTATCCACTTTTTGATGAAATATCAATCAAAAAAGTCTATGTTCAGTTATGGAATACTAATATTTACAAACTCGGAGTTATTTGCCCCCGACAATATTTCAGGCAAACTTTTGTTAAAGGGATGCAGATGCCCAGAACTTTGGGGAAAGAATCGGGAAAAGAGTATAAGATTGAAAATCCCTAAGCAAATAAAATCATAGTTGGTGAAGAACAAGGACAGCAAAATGGGGCGAAAATATTTATATTTTTCCCCTGAAGTACCATCCAGTGCAAGAGGTAGTCGGGCCAATAAAATGCAGGTCACAAGTGGGTCTTTTGAATGAAAAAACTAAACTGTTTCCTTTTAAGTGACGCTATTCTTTTTAATGAAGTGTTTTTCCCCAAGAAGGTTATTTCTTTATTACCTAGAGATAAAGTCATGAGAGATTTTACATGATGTGCATGATTAATAACTTTAAAATCCCACTGTCCTCATATATCATTCAAATCACATTAAAGTTACAGAAATAATAGTTACCAGAGTCTGATTTTATTAAGCATGACGTAGCTTGTCTGCTTGTGAGGTTGTTATGTCTTCTTCATTCAGCGTTGTGTGTGGCGCTGGCCCTGGGCGTCCCGAGGGGGGAGGTAAGGGGGGCACTTGCCCCCCCCCCCCCCCCCCAAAAAAAAAGGGGAAAAAGAAAAAAGAAAAAAAGAGGCGCAAAGTCATAGTGGTGTAATTTAATAGGTGGGGGATGTCCCTGTCCACCTCTAAAACTGATAAATCGAGAATATGTTGAGAAATACAGGCATTTTTTGGCAAAAACAGGTTTTGGCCCCCTCTAGAAAAAAATCCTGGCGACGCCCATGGCGCTCGCTAAATCCCCCCGCTCACGTGACCACATTAAAGTTAAGATTCTAGTCATTATTAATACGTTAACATTTATTATTTTATTGTTATGATTATAAATTTACTTTGATCTTTGTTGGTCTGCTTACTGCATTACCGTTCCCGCTAAAATGAGCCAATCACAAAAAGACACCTGGAGTACACACTCGAAAACAAACGAATTTGGGCTGGATCTAACTTTGTGTAATGTACACGATCATGTAGTTCGTTAGTGACACCAAATTTGGCAAGTATTGCACTTTGTTTAAGTTTTAAGATATTAAAAACTAACTATTATTTTTATTTGTGCTTTTTTATAATTCTATATGTCGTAGGCTTAAGTTTTAATTGTTAATGTGAATTATTCACTTGACACGTACTGTACGTTCTATTTTACACCTCTCGGATCGCGCGGGCGGGCTACATGTACGGTTCGCGCAGTGCCTGCCAAATTTTTACGGGCGCTACATCGCAGTTTTTGACTAATATTGATCGCTTTTATTTCACAAAATAATGATATTGTTGTTCATCGTAGACTCCCATATTTTATCCGCTCATGTCTATAGGCTGGTGTGATGATAGTTTTGGAGAAGATTAAGGAGTCTAAGGAGTAATTTCTGTAAGCTGATTCCGGAGAGGAAAAGCATGAGGGCTTTTGTGTCGCCAACATTTGTACCGATGGCATGCATGTCGTGAACATGTGTAGCGTGCACGGCGCGATTCGTACAGTCGAGTAGATTGCGAAGTGTACATGTTCCTGTTTGCGATGTTTTTAATCAGTAGAAGCGGACTGATTTTCATGTAAGAGTGTTTATTTATGAAGTTTCTATGAAGTTTCTATAGGTTAGAGATTGTGCCGTGCATTTAGGGACGGATTTGACTGCCCAGGTGTGATTTGTGTGCAAGTAAGTGTTGGTCGGCCCGAGCGGCCGGTTGACCATGCCCACATGGGCCTTATTCACGATTTGGCCATTTTTGTCGAGTTATTGTTAACTGTTGAATTGGATGCCGCCAGACTATTTATGTAAGCACAATTTTACTGAGTCATTTTTTTTTAATACGGCTTTTAACATTAGGGAATATTTAATTATAAGTTTAAAATTATTTATTCAGGCAGACTGGAATTGATTATAAATTAAGTTGCTTTCATTTCTCTTCGCAAGTTCAAAAATAAAGATTTTACCTAACTTTCAATTCAATATGGCCGAATCGTTAATAAGGCCCCAAGCCATACTAAGTTGTAGACCAGGAGCCTCTGTCACGGAGTCTGCACATGTACATGTATATTTATTTCAATTGGTAGTGATGACTAGATTATATTTGAGGAATTGTACTAAGCCTTTAAACCTGGTTTTATTTCGCAAAATGGAACTATAAATCAGTGCATGCCCATTTTTTTTTTTTACAGGCGGCCCTAGGGTCAAGCAGTCAGATGTAGCACACGTTATAGTGACTAAATCATTGAACACAGAAAGAGCTGTCTGGTAGGTCTTCCCTTCATTTGGCCCAACCTGCGTGTCCCCACCTCCCCCACCCCATATCCCAGTTGCCCCACCCCTTTTGGACGGTCGCCCCGCGCCTACCGACCCCCCCCCCCCCCCCCCCCCCCGGTGTGTCGTTTTATTGAGTGTTCAGAATATTATCAGTGTTCTTATCATTGGTTTTTACTGTATAACACTCCGTCAAACTGGTTGGTGATTACTGTGTAATTAGCTGAGGCTGTCAGTCAGAGTGTTATACCATATGCAGCATTGTTAAACTGTATTACCTAGGGCATCACTAATTGTGTGTGTCTTGCTATTGTATGGTGACCTATGAACCTTAGAATTCAGTACTCTGTGTTTTTGCTTACCTAGAAGTTACAGGTACATGGCTGCTTGTTATGTGAAGGTACGGTACGGGGAGTATATAGTGTCCTTTCACCAGTTTCCACTTGAAGAGGGTATGGGCCGTTACACATTTCTGTTGTTCAGTCCCAATACCCATCCGCCTGATGAGGCCTTTTGTACTCAACAGACGAACGTGAAAGTGGTAATTCCAGTGCAGAAGGAGCAACAAGGCACCAAGAGATGGATCATCGGTCTCCGATCCGCTTCCTGAGCCGGCGGTTACCCCACAAGCATGGTGATATGCCATTCTTGGGACACAAACTCATGAAACTGTTATCCACGCCTCAAACACAGTTGGTAATGCTCCACAAGGGAAAATTCCCCAATTTGATGGAAAGGTCGAAGAGGTGCGAGATTTTGTAACCAGCATTCAAAATGCATTCCAGCGGTACTGTATTCCGGAAGATCAACAAGGTCCATGCATTTCTGCAAGACTACCTGAGAGGGGTACCCAAAGCAGAGGTAAAAGCTCTGCTCTCTGACATGAACGAGGTCAAGATTCGTTCTGGAGTTTCTTCGGGAATCCTACGGTGACTGACAACTAGCAACAGGGGAGCTACAACGGTTATTTCTAGAGAGGCGACAAAGCCAAGGAGAAGAGCCATGACACGCTGGAGCAGGGGAACAGTGAAGGTCTTATTTGAGAACTTGGAGAATATGGCATAAAGCGAGAGGGACAAGAGCGTAAGTCCGTCGGCTTTACAGATATACACATTCATCTTGGAGATAATTCCCCTCAATATGATGATTTGATGACTGTTCCGTGAGATGTATTGTCAGTGTAGTTGTATGAGGCAGTGAGGCGGGCCACCAGACCACCTCCGCACCCAACCTGTAACAGTGAACAGT